CCAGAACATCTTCATAGTACCATTGGCTTGTCAGTGAACACGGTAGATATAGGAATTGAAGCACCACACCAATTAGAATAGTCTAGATGCAACTTTATTCCATTAGGGTCAGTTGACATTCAAGTAGTGTATCCAACACGTTTCGGAGGCCCAAAACACACCCCTTCATCAAAGCTTGATGAGAGAAATCACAGCTGCCAAACTAGCTGCTGACCAGCCTGAACTACTCTTATCACAACTCAATACAACTCTCAAGCTGCAGGGATTGTAGTCCACACACATGATTTCTCTCAAGGTTTAAACCATGCAAAAAAAGAAGTGATCATTGTCAGCACCCCCCGGAAGTGTTACATGGTTTGTCCCAACCTCTTTAATTGCCCATTTTGTGCTGTACAGCTTGGCCTGTTAACAGACGTGGAGGAATGACTGATCTACCAGCAACACCAGCAGATATTGAACTGTTACAGAAGGGAATCAGAAATATACTGTTGTGTTAATGCTACTAACAGACTATATGATATGTGTCACCTTTTATTTTGTTCAGAGTTCCCCTTTAAGCAGCAGAATATTACTCATCGCAGCTCTTGAATTTCTTCTTTTCAGAATCTGGAAATTTACAAACTGACAGCAGAGCAATTCCACACAGCGGCAACCAACGCCGAGCTCCGAGTGAAGTAAGACATTTATCTTTGCAATTGTTCGCATTTTCTCTTGTTGCCAGTTTCAGATCTGTCAAAGTATTACAGAGTCCATGGCATTCAGTAAGCCACAGCAACCAATCACATTTCACCTAACATCAGTGCACAGCTGTCAGAGCAATGTGGATCACTCCGGTCTGAATATTGCTCTAGTAAAAGCATGCACCCCCCATGTTAAATGGTCCATAGGAATACATAGTAAGTCACACATTTTTGTGTGCATTAAGGGATATTTATCAAGCAAATATGTGACGGAATTAGATGCAAATCTGGCTGCCGGTCAGTTAGCAAAGTCCTGGGCAGCCAACTGAGATCACTTTGCTCCTTGCATCTTGCTGCATTGAAAGCTATCCTCCAGGATTTCTCCCTCTCCCCCACCCCACCACCCGATAGTTTGGGGCTGATGTATAGTATAACGGCCATATGAGCATGCTCCCCGGCACCATCTAGTGGCTGTAATGCTGTGCGACCATTTGGCCAGCTGTATTCTGGGCATGGCCTTTATACATCAGCCCCTTAGTCAGTTCTGCAATATAAAAACATTTTCTGCTTGCACATTTTGTATGCTTTTTTACAGATCAAAAGAGAGCAAATAAGGGAAGTTCCTTGTTCGGGTTTGCGTTCTGTTAGGGAGTATTCAGGGGCCGGTTTTATTCTATTAGAGTACTTTAAAGCAGCTGGGGTAGCAATGTATGAAAGTATCTGCACTATAAATCAGTAAATCAGTCTATAAACAACGCTCCTTGCTGTGTGACAGAATTGATAAATATTCCCCATTGAAAGAGCAATAAATAATGCATGTTAAGGTACAAAAACTCATGTGCTAATGCATCGGTCCTCAACATTTTTTCAGTCACGGCACCTTTTAAAAGTCTGCAAATTTTTATGGCCACCCCAGTCTACAATGGGAAAAAAAATGGATATGGGAAAAAACTGTGTGATTCCTCCTAAAAATCTATTCCAAACCCGTATCCTAGACATGGGTCTGGTATGGATTTTAAGGGTGCACCCCAGACAAAAATAAGATGACATGGGGTTTCCCACTTCATCAGAGTCCCCCCTTTCACATTAGAATCCCCCCTTCTCACCAGCATCCCCCTTTTGCTGAAAATTTAAAGGCACCCCTGACTAAGCCAGTAGGCACCCCAGGGCGTTGAGAAAGGCTGCGCTAAAGCATGTAAAAAAACATCACGTAGAGCCAAATTACCATGGGGCCGGCTGTGCCGTTGGAAGGAGCGGGCGGGAAGGAGTGTTCAGAGCAGTGGAGGGAGGGAGAGGGGGCAGATTGGTGGGGGTCATTCCATTTTCCCAAATTCGCCTGGGAAAATGCAATTACCCTTTAAAGATAGCATTTACACAAAGAGGAAAGCAATGGCAGCCTACGTTTTTAAAGCTAAACTCAAGGCAGATGTAAAAAGAAACAAATTAATACTCCTCGCTGTGCTGCTTCTCCTGCACTGTCCAGTCACCTTCCTGAGGGAGGGTCCAAGACAGCCTGGGCACAGAGGAAGTGGGTTGAATAATTTTGTCTGTCATCCAACCCTGAAGACTGAGGACATCTAGTGGAAACACAGTGATTCAGGGTTTTATGTTATTTTCCTATAGACATTGTGCTTTTTGTGCTAGAACACATGCTCAGGAATGAATCTGAGCTTTCTGGCAGCTGACGAATGAATTGTTGGTGAGCTGTCCGAGACTTCTCCAAGCATAGTGTTTATATCTCATCCCCTGCTGCTTGTA